TAAATTAACCATGTTACCTCTTTAGGATTCTGCCGTAGTGGAGAAGGAGATCATTAGAATCAGAGGATAAAAATCAAGGCATGGAAGTAAAGCATCTGTCTAATGCTGCGTCACCAGCTCACAGGAGCTAGATTCTCTTTATAAACAGATCATTAAACAACAAACAAATGAGGTACTGCTTACTAATACAAGTATTATGACCACATTGCCAGAAACTTGGAAAACTTCAGGGGGGAAACGGTCTTGCCACCTTAAAACAAATTATTCTTAATTTATTATTTAATAAAATTGTTATATTTTTAAATATTTTCAAAAGCTTTCAGCGTAAACTCTTAATGTCAGTACCTCTTTTGTCTCCTCTCGGGTATACTGGAGTCATTCCTAAGAATCAAGTCAGATCCTGTAGGTTCTACATTTTGAAGCTCTTTTACAAGTCCTGGCTGGCATTGACTCAAAAGGCAGCTATCTGACGACACAATTTCAGTAAGATCAGCAGTGAGGAGAAAACATCAGGTCTGAGTTCTAACCTTTCTTTAGCGATAACACTAGATGCTCCTTCATTCATTCAACAAACATTAATTGAGCACCTATTGCGTACCAGACGTTGTGCTAGGTGCTAGGGCTACAACTGTGAATTAGATAGATAAGGTCCCACATCTCACAGGACTTACATTCTCATGTGGGTGTGTATATGTAAGTATGCAGACACTGTGTAGAGGAAGAAAGGGAAAACCATGAGAAAGCAGAGTCTCTTAAAGATTCGCTTCCTCCTCTGAAAAAAAATGGGATAATAAAAGCATCTACTTATAAGGTTATTGTGAGGAGAAGTGCACAAATACATTATTTAAAATGCTAATGCAAACTTCAAACCATCAGAACATAGTAAATACCTTCGATGCTCTGGGGGCCCACAAGATTCATGGCCTGGTGAGCTGGATATTCCACTCGGGGCCTGGCAATGCCCAATTGCTCCATAACGCCGTGAAGCAGCCTCTGGATATCTGTTTCTGAGACCCTGTCAGGGGTCCGGGGGCTGTAGGCAAATGCTGGAGTCCATCCCGATGCCAGCCAAAACAGTAAGCCAGATAGCATGGTAGAGACCATCCTGGAGACCATTTTTAACCTGCAGATAAAAGACCAAATGTATACTGACTGGCTACAATCAGCAATTGTGATAATACAATTATAATGATGCAACTACTCCAGGTTGTGGTTCAAGGACCACCCAGAAAGAGGATGTAATTTAAAAATCCTTAGCAGGTTGCTTCTGTCTTAAGTTTCCATGCTAGGCAGAACATCATTGCAGAAAGGTATTAAACAAAACAGTTGCAGGTATCCAATTCCCTCTGTTTGCATTCTTGGGAAAGCTAGGCTGGAATGGCGGTTCTTACTCATAATTTTTATCCTCCTTGTAGCTCCCTGAAAGTTCTGCGTTACTCCTAACTTCATCACTCTCTCCCTCTCTTACTAAAACAAATAAACCAAACTTGCCTCAATTTTGAGAAAGAGATAGTGGCATCTTGAGTTTTCCCAGTCTCAGGGAAGAAAAGGCTAACAGGAGGGAATCAGGAAGACACAAATGGTAAAGAAGCTCAGGCAGGTTGGGAGTGGTGGCAGGAAAACATTTTAGTTTAGCAAACATCCAATACGTTTGAGATCCTGAAAGGAAGGAAAATGTTGCTTAGATCCCGCCCTGCAATCTGCTGGGGTAGTTTGAGGTATGTTTACTCAGCCACATGCTGAGTGATCGTGGGCAAATCCCTCAGTTTACTCCTCTGCAAAACGGAGATAATAAAAGCATTTACCTTACAGGGTTGTTGTGATACATGTTAAGAGTGTTTAGGACAATGCCAGGCACAGAATGAGCCCCTATATTGCTATTATTATGTTGGTAACATTGCCTTACAGTTCTGGAGGTTAGAATTGAGGGAGGCAGTGGTGGTCAAAGGGAGAAAACTAGCCTGAGGGTCAGCCTGTCCTAAGTGTTGGTTTCTATGAGTATGTCTGCAAAACAAGGGAACATTATCCTTGCAGCTTACGACAGCTGCTTAACCTGTTGGGATGGATGCTTCAGGCAGCAGCCTTGCAAATGCCTTTTTTTTTAATACTCTTGTTGCACTCACTGCAACCTCCACCTCCCGGGTTCAAGCGATTCTCCTGCCTCATCCTCCCTACCTGGGACTGGCACCCACAACCACAACCGGCTAATTTTTGTATTTTTAATAGAGGCGGGGTTTCACCATATTGGTCAGGCTGGTCTCGAACTCCTGACCTCAGGTGATCCACCCCTCCTCGGCCTTCCAAAGCGCTAGGATTACAGGCGTGAGCCACCATGCCCTGCGCAAATCCTCCTTCTAATCATTCTTCTACTGGGGATGGGGGATGGGGGATGGGGGATGGAGAGATGGGAGGCGGCAAAATTGTGCATTTCCTTCACTGAAACTAAAATTTTTATACCCTCCAATTTCTTTTTCTGCAAAAAAAAAAAAAAAAAAAAAGGCCTATTTCTAGTCACTAGATACAAATCCTCGCTCTCCAAAGAGCTGGGAGTAGCTGTTTTAACAGCAAAATCTGCAATTCTGATGGAAAAGGCTGGAGGCAGGCACGAGGCTCTCCATCTCCATCTTTCCCTTGTCCACTCTGAATGCAGTCTTTCACCTCCATTCCAGCAAAAGCCGCTCTGATTTGATGAACTGCCCAATCTCCTCCCTCAGTACTCCCTTCCCCTTACTGATAGCCAAACATTCTAATCCCCTACCCATCGTTTGTCTGACCCCAGCCTCCACCTCGAGGATTTTAGCAGGACGCCCTCCCCCACTGGCGATACCAAATCTCGGGTTGGCAGCAGGCGGCCGAGCCGACATCAAAGCTGTACTCACCGAGGAGCAGCCCGAGGAGCCTACCGCAGTATGGGCCTTGGTGGGGGTCAGGCCAGGAGCCGGCGTACTGGAGAGCTCGTGCGTCACCTTCCTCCGCATCTTAGCTCCGCCCCGGCCCCTCCTCCAGCAGGTGGAAGTTAACTCGCCAGGCGTCCGCAGACTGCATCCCCGATAAGTGTGCCTCTCACCGGGAGCCGAACAGCTCTTCAACCCACACATTCTGCATACAAACCACTTGACTACATTTCCTTCAGCTCCATCGACCTCTGTGGCAGTCATTCACCTCCTTTCTCAATCTCAATTACAATGTGCCAGATCACCACTATAGCACACCTTTAATTTTGCCAACTTCTAGAACGTGTTTTTTTTTGTTTTGTTTTGTTTTGAAAGTCTTTTAGCTTCAAGAGGGAAGAGGCAATGAATGGTAGAGGGACAGATGAAGTCCTAAGAACTTTTAATGGTGACTATGATAAGGTATACCCTGCTCTGAGGGGCCTCTTACTGATCAGGAAAACTATGAGGACATTTAATACAAGAAGCTAGAAACTTTCATTCAAGTGATAAACTTGAACATCTGTAGAAATACCAGCTCTGAGTGTTATTTCTAAACTTCCACACAAACCATCAGTTGAAATTCCACTTTGGCCTGAAGAGAAACCATACTCCCAGCATACTGTAGAAGTATGTCCAGCTAGTCCCAGATTCTTAAATGAGGGTTTATGGAGCACCTACTATGTGCAATGTTGAACACTGAAATTTGTTCAAATACTAACATCGACATATAAAGCCACACAATAAATATGGCACTGCAAATTTCATCAAGACGGAGAATGAGTAAAGTACCTGGGAAGGAGGGGTCTCAAAATAAGAAACCTGATGAGGTTAGAATCCAGATCTATTTATCTTAGCTCTAGACAGCAAATCCATTGTCATCTACAGCAATTTTATGCAATGAATAGAGGCTGGCAAAATTCATTATGTGACACACGGCCTTTCATTTTGAAGTCAAGTCTCTTTCCCAGTATTTTTTCTTCCATGGATGCTCTTCTGCTTTTTGCATTTTGTTTCAATGCGTGCTAAACTCAACAGGACAAACACTATCCACTAAATGGCTCTAGGCTCACTGGCCATGCTGGAGTTAGTATTTATTATTGATGCATAGAGACTTTCTTCAATTCTGAATTTACTTTAGCTATGTTCAATTGTTATCTTCATTTTGTGGTTGGAAAAAATGAAGTCACTACAATTTACTGGTTTTGTGTTGAATTTAATTGAAATACATCAAAATGCCTATGCTTCATCTGAATTTTTTTTTTTTTTCTTGAGACAGTCTTGCTCTGTCACCCAGGCTGGAGTGCAGTGGCACGATCTCGGCTCACGGCAAGCTCCGCCTCCCGGGTTCACGCCATTCTCCTGCCTCGCCTCCCAAGTAGTTGGGACTACAGGCGCCGCCACCACGCCCGACTAATTATTTTGTATTTTTAGTAGAAACAGGGTTTCACCGTGTTAGCCAGGATGGTCTCCATCTCCTGACCTCGTGATCCGCCCGTCTCGGCCTCCCAAAGTGCTGGGATTACAGGCGTGAGCCACCATGCCTGGCCGAAATTTGGTATTTCAAAAATAAAACTTCATATATATTTAAGAGATCACAGAGGCCGGGTGCGGTGGCTCAGGCCTGTAATCCCAGCACTTTGGGAGGCCAAGGCAGGCGGATCACGAGGTCAGGAGTTCGAGATCAGCCTGGCGAATGTGGCGAAACCCTGTCTCTACTAAAAACACAAAAATTAGCCGGGTGTGGTGATGCGTGCCTGTAATCCCAACTACTCTGGAGGCTGAGGCAGAAGAATCGCTTGAACCCGGGGGAGGGAGGTTGCAGTGAGCGGAGATTGTGCCACTGCACTCCACCCTGGGCAACACAACGAGACTCCGTCTCAACAAAAGACTCAACAAAACAAACAAACAAAAAAGATCACAAAATTAAGGTTTAAATTCTGCCACAATTAAAAAAACATGATTATTAAAATCCTACATTAAGTTCTTAGTGATCATATTATAAAATGTGGTTGAGCAGTCTATTAAGTTCTATGTATTAAGTTGTTTGTTGCTTATTAGATAACCAAATTAATATTAGATCTTTATTTACATTACTAAGACACAGAAAAGAACCCATGCGGTTACTGCACATGTCCAGACACTTTTAACTTTGTAAAGTGTATTTATATCATTTCTTCAAATATCCCATGAAGTTACCAACATTATCTCTATTTTGTGTAAGAAAAAATAAAAACACATTAAATCAAGTCTAAAACAAAACTTTTCTGACTCTCTAGTTACCATATCTTCAAGCTATTCACCTTCATATTCCTGTAATACTTTGTATTGCAGCTTTCAGCTAACAAAAATAGTAGTCACATGTGGCAGTTTTTTTTTTTAAACAGACATTTTTCATTATTGATTCATCTCTCAGAAAAGCCAGTCCAGGTAGTATGTACAGTTAAATCCCTAGGACTTCTTACTGAATTAGCCTTCAAATTCAACATTTCATCCTTCCCTTGATGCATATAAAAAGACATTAATGCATTTTTAAAATTTAAAAATTGTTTAAAGCAGACAACATATATCTGAGTATATGAATATTTTGTCTCTACTTACAATTAGAAATACCATAAACATCTACAAACCTATTTGATATCAAATAAACAAAGTAGAACTAGCCAAGCAAACATCCAATGATCTGAAATTCCTCGTCCATACTTACGCTGTAAGTCTGGTTGCTCCAAGTGGCATGAATGCTTCTCTAATCTGCTCCAACATCTAAACATGACATTCTAACAATTGATCTGAAAAACTATCTTTAGTGGTTGATTCTGTCTGCTTATTCCTTCCTCTACAACCTAGAGAATATGTTCTATTGTTCATAATACTCCTTCCTCAAAGATGTGTAATTTGTAATAATTTAAAATATAAATTTAGACAGATTTGCTTGACAATTTGTTGCATGTTCTAAATGGCACTTTGAATTTCATGACAGCCTTAGTCAAGTCATTTTCCAGAGAGTTATCTTTAATGTCTATGCTAAATAAATAACATTTACACACAGGACAAAATCATCATAGGTTTTTATCCAAGTAAAAAAGGTTAAAGAGGTACATCTACTATTTCAAATTCCAAAATCAAGCATCTACATATAAGAAATCACCTTGATTAATTTTTTTCAAGATTATCCCTCTTTAAATAATTGCCAAATCTATACTGGACAAAACAGATACAAATGTATTTGTGCAAATTGTCTTTAAAATCGTAGTATGGCTTAAAAGTTATCAATTATTTCCGCATCATAATATGTGAACATACTTTAGTCATTACTCCATCTTAGTCATTTGTTCTTTGTTCAAGTGAACACATGGTACACCTACAGGCAACATAAATGAAATTACTGTGCCCCAAATAAAAATAGAATATTAGGATGCTATCAAAGGAAATTAATTTCTAGGAATTTTGGCAAGGACAAACATTAATATAATTCCAGACATAAGATTTGCAGGGTTTATCTCTACTCTTTACATGCTAGAAATTCATTTCTTTTAGAAACCTTATCTGACTTGAGGAAATAGGCACAACTTGCTCCATTCTTCCTATCACACAAAAATATCATGTAATTTTCAAAAATTAACTTCTTATAAATCCAGTCAACAATTTCTTTAGAAAGGTAAAGTCTAACTTCTGCTTTAAGAGATCACAATAAAATTAAAGTTTAAAAATTGCCATCATTAACAAAAACAAGTAATTTGTACAAATAAAAATCCAAGTTGCTTGTACAGTGAAATAAAAATGTTTCAGAGCAAATCTATTGCTTAATAATCATCCTGAGCTACAAACTAACAGGTAGATTATCCTGCAAGTCATACCATCAACTGCTCACTTTATTTACATTAATGACAAGTATAACATTTACCAGTTACAAGTCTACAGGTTGACTTGTTGGTAGTAATTGAGTTTTTCCGATAGGATGTTTTGGAGAACCTTTGTACCAGGCCCTTTCTCTTTCTGATGGTCTCTTAAGGACCCTGTTATTTATCCCAGAAGAAATGCCTATATTGTTATTTACAACCGGTTTTAATATATCATGATTAGTCAGATCATCCAAGGGAAGCTTAACTTGGCCATCAGATAACATCTTCTGTTTACAAACTGTAGTAGACCCAAGAGAAGCATTCACTGAATCTGGGTGCTTCTTCATCTTTAAGAAAGATTTCGAAGGTAACTCCATGCTTGACTTTGAAATCGCATCAGTATTTGACTCTTCACATGACATGGACTTCCGTTCTTTAGGACCTGATTCGATACATGAAACAGAGGAATCGTTTGATGTACTTTCCATACAAGAGGAAAGAGCACCGTCACAGCTCACTGATTTGACCAGAGGAGAAGCTGTATCACCAAGACTCGCCAACTTATGCCCTATAGGCTGTCTGCTATAATCCAACAAAGAATTAATTCTTCTGACAGACTGACGAACAGGAGTACGCTGAAACTTAAGAGGTGACTTGACTTTTGTTCTATTTGGTTCATTTAAAGAAAGCTTGTTAAACCACTGTATGTGATCAGAAACCTTTCTATGTTCTGTCATTTGTAAACTTTCAGAAACTGTTTTCTCACATGTTTCCAATGACTGCTGTTTAGCAATTCTCATAGGCCTAGGTTTTGACAAGTTTGTTATAACACATGTACTCTGCTGTGAGAAAGAGGCTCTAGTCTTGCCCTTGCTATGTGCTGCATACTTTGGTAAGTTACCTTCAATCATATTCTCATTCTCCTTTAATTTATTATTCAGTTTAACCTTTGGGGACTGCTGTTTCTTTATTTGTTCATCACTGGGGAATTCTTCCTTGCTTAAATAATCTTTTGGCATATTTGAATGAATGTCTTTTTCATGTTCCATCTTCATCTGAGTTGAATAACATTTTATAGTTGCTTCTCTATCAAATGTTTGAGTTTTAAGGGGTGAAAAGTCCCTCTCTGAAAAACATTTTTCACCTTTACCAGTGAGGTGTTCATATTTCTCCTTTGATTCTACTACAGTCAAATCATTAGTTTCAAACAGATTTTCCACTGGGCTATCTTCTAAATAAGATGGTTCAGTTAATTTTACTTTCCCCACATTAGGTACTGATAACTGCCTGTCATTCATCAATGCATGAAGATTACTTCCAGATTCAGAAAATGCTTTTTGAACTTTCACCAAAGTCTCTTTGGTCACGTTATTTTCATCCCCACTAAGAGGGCTACTTGTTATGTTGCTATGATGCTTACTGTTTAAATTGGAAGGAATGAGTTCACATGAAGTAGCAGGTGACTTTTCAACCATAACATCAGGCTCCAAAGAGTTTTCTACCTCAAGATTTTCCACCATTGAAGAAGCTTCATTTGTATCTACTTCTTGAAAACTTGAATTATTAGGTCCTGTCCAAGACATCCGGTAATTTGTTCCAACTAGTCGCTCTGGAGTTAGTAAGTTTTCCTCAGACTTACTGATCTTTTGTGAACCTAAAATAAAGCAGTTTAGTGCTTAATCCTTTATATTTAACCTTGTTTTGAAATAATATCCAAGCACATGGCAAATAAGTCACTAAGCATTTAATTCTAATAAAGTATTTGTGTTATAAGAAATAATTTTTAACATAAGAATGTCAAACATTTTCATATTTACATGTATAAGCATTTCCCAATTGTTGATATAAAAATACATTGCCAATTCTAATATTTTCACTATTCAAACACGAACTTCTAATCTCTAGAACAGTAAATTAATTAATATATTTTATCATTAAAAAAGCAACTAAAGCAGGATTTTTAGGTAAAACTCTTTAACAGTAGTATGTAAATGTACCTTTCTTTGGTAACTTTTCATCAACATCTGGGCTAAAAAGCAAACCTGTTTTTACAGATTCAATTCGATTTTTTAAACTTTGTTGATTTGCAAGTCGCTGACCAACACTTTCATATCTACTGACACCAGAACATCCATTCTGTACGGAAAAAAAAAAGTTTTAGTTAAGAAATAAGCCTAGTTAACTGAAAATATAAAGACAGAATAATTTTTTTGTAGTTATCAAAATCTTTAGCTGATTTAAAAAGGGATATATAATTGAGAAACAATTCTTAACAATGACAAATATTCTTGCCTGCTAATGAAAACTGTGATCATTTGATTTTGCTATTAGTTGGTATTTTATGATCTACTTTTAAAACAGTTTGACATATTAATTAAAATAATTTCTGTGTGTGTTCTGACTCTGTGCTAGGGCCTGTTCACAAATAGTTGGGGCAGTGGGGTACCTAGACCAAAATCTTATCCTTATGTAATTTACACTCTATTTAGATGGGGAAATTTAGACTTAAATAAGATAAACAGTAAATTATATTGCATAAATACAATACACAAGGTGAAAAGTGCTATGGAGAAAAGTAAAACAGGGTAAAAAGGATATGGAGTGGTGAAGAATGGAGGTTTAGTTTAAAATAGGGTGATAAGAAGATGATTTGCGAGTAAAACAAAACGAAGGCGAGAGCCACGAAGATTTCAGGGGGAAGAACATTACAGTAAGAGCAGAATGCCAGTGCAATCACAGACTGGAGCAGCGTGAGCAAAGGGGACTGGAGAAGAGCTCAGAAATGCAGCCTTAGAACAGATCACGTGAGGCATTGCAGGTCAACGTGAGAACTGTGGCTTTTATTCAGAGTGAAATGAGGAGTCACTGGAGAGTTCTGAGCAGAGACTACATAACCTAACAGATTTTAAAAGAGCAATTTCAGCTACAGAACTGCAGCAAGGGTAGGAGAAGGTAGAACTATTAATAGGAATTTACTAGAGTAATCCAGCAGAAAGATGATGGAACTTAGAGAAAGTGGGAAAAGTAGTAATAGTGAGAACTGGTCAGTTTGGACATACTCTAAAAGCAGAAGTTAGACAATATTCTCTAATGGTTTAGACATGGTGTGTTGGAGAAAGTGAGGAATCAAGGATGTGATCACGGTTTTTGGCTTAAGTGACTGGAAGAACGATTTGCCATAACTGAGATAGGGAAAACCACAGGTAAAAGTGTTGTTTGGTGCAGGGGATAGCAGCAGCAAAGAAATGCATCTGCTTGGGACAGGTTACATTTGAAATGCCTATTGGATTAGACATCCAAGTAGGAGAGTCAAAAAAGCAGATGTTAAGAAACAGTCAAGTCATTCAGAAGAGCATTTGGGATTAGAGAACATAAACTTGGAAGTTTTAAGTAAATACAGGTTGGGCATTCCAAATCTGAAAAGCCAAAATTCTGGATGCTCCAAAATCCAAAGCTTTTAAGCATTTGACATGATGCTCAAAGAAAATGCTCACTGGAGCATTCCAGATTTTCAGATTAGGGATGTTGAACTGGCAAAAATCATGTAAATATTCCAAAATTCACCCCAAAAATGGGGAATCTGAAATACTTCTGGTCTCAAGCTACTCAACCTGTATATAATGTTTAAAACTGATAATCGCCTTGAGTGAGTGGAGAGAAAAAAGAGAAGTCCAAGGACTAAGCTTTGGGTATTCCAATGCAAGGAAATTTGATATCAACTCAAGTGTAAGAGTTTTGTATAAAAAGAACAGAATGTGACAGTCACTGGAGGGAAGGCAGGGTTATGAGTGTTTTTTAGTATCAAGTTTATAGCATTATGCTAATATAAAGATTAATAAAATGGTAAGAAACTTACTACATCTCTGCCATTTTTCCCTAGATTGAATTTCAAACGAAGAGATCTTCGAACCTTTTCTTTATGGCTGAGTTTAGGAGAAAAGCAGCCTGCTTTTCCTGATTCTACTCTAGAAGTGGAATTAAAAATGTCAGTTTATAGTATAAACACCAGAGAAATACCTGAAATATAAAATTTGAAATAAAGTCCACAGCAAATCATACTGATAATAATTGGGTGGATTAATAATTCTTTAAAAACAGTTCAACTTTAAGATACCATATATGAACACATTATATTTGCATATAAAAATGATCTCTTAATCTTAAAAGTTATTTAGTCAGTTATAAATCAGAATTGTTAGAATAGGCTAGCTTTTTAACCTAACAGGAATTTTTTTGTTTGTTGTTTTTTGAGACAGGGTATGACGCTGTGGCCCAGGCTGGAGTATAATGGTATAATCACAGCTCACTGTAGCCTCGACATCCCTGGACTCAGATGATCCTCTCACCTCAGCCTCCCAGGTAGCTGGGACTACAGGTGTGTGGTACCATGCCTGGCTACTTTTTGTACTTTTTATAGAGATGAGGTTTTGCCACATTGCCCAGGCTGGTCTTGAACTCCTGAGCTCAAGTGCTCCACCCACCTTGGCCTCCCAAAGTGCTAGGATTACAGGCATAAGCCACCGTGCCCAGCCTCTAACAAGAAATTTTAAACTTACACCATCAATATAAAATAGGATTTTAAGCAAGCACAGTGGACTCAAATTAGTAATTTTTCTCTGGTGGGTATTGAAAAGGCAATTGATTAATAAGACTATAAAGCCCGAAGAGATTTTTAAAAATTATGACTCAAATATGATGCTTGACAGAAAGATAAAACATTTTATTAACTATGTGTATACCAAATATTTATCTGATGAAAACAAAATGTCCTGGATAAAGTACCTGCAAACTTTTTTGCCTGCAATTCTTTTACTTCGCCTTGGCGCACCTGCAGTGATCAAATGGTTTCCACCACTGGGTACAGGAGAGAGTGAACTCTGAGATGACCCTTCTGAGTTTGTATCGATGTGAACTACGAAAATAACCACATGTAATATACCACGCATACCTATTTTCCTTTTAAAGTATAAAATAGTAATAGCTGCAATTAGATTCAAAGCCTTAATTTCTATACCAAGCAACAACTGAAATCACTTAATTTCTAGTTAGAAACTTCAAGTGTCAAATAACCCAACTCAGCTAAGAAAAAGCATTCATTTCTTACTTTTGACTTGCCAATTAAAGGTCAGATTAAGCATTACTTTTATATTAGAACTTTTCTTTAAAATCTTTTCATAATACAAGGCAGGGATAGGCACCATTGCAGACTGGAAAAAAACAAGATTTGGAGACAGGCTTGAGTTTGCTCCATCACTTACTAAATGGCTTTAGGCTCTGAAAATGGATTTCTATGATGAATATTACTGTTATCTATATAAAATAGTAAGTATCTAGTACATAATACTAATTAATGGTATTATAAAAAATAAGCTATTGGCAAACAAGTTGGAATCTGAATATTTGAGATACACCTGCTGGCCAACTGCTACCCACCTGACTCCAGAATGTAATTTGTTCAATATTTTTGGCAAGTAAACAAAAACTAATTATTCTATAACATGTCTAATCACTTGGCTGCTGCTGTGTTCCATTCAAATAATTATTGGTACAACAGAAGCTCGATTTAATTATTTAACACCATTTATATTATGAAATCAACTACAGTAAACAATTATGAAAGAAGTAAAATAGTTATGAACAAAGGCTCCATATACACTTGACTTATGTTTGAATCGTACCCAGGACACATTCAACAAACATGAACCCTCTCAATTCATCTGAGTTATTAATAAAGAATTCACAAAGTTCCCCAAACAGACACATTCACATTTTTTCAATTATGAAAACAGAAAAAATATGACCATCATAGTAACTTTTGGGTACATTTAGCGAAAGAAAATTTTGGAAGCCAATATGATACATCTAAAGAGACATAAGTAGCTTTATTCTAGGGCTGCAGTCTAGTCACTTTAAAAATGTGTCCAGCCAGGCACAGTGGCTCCACTTCTGTAATCCCAGTATTTTGGGAGGCTGAGGTGGGCGGATTGCTTGAGGCCAGGAGTTCAAACTAGCCTGGCCAACACGGTGAAATCCTGTCTCTACTAAAAAGACAAAAATTAGCTGGGCGTGGTGGTGCATGCCTGTAATCCCAACTACTCGGGAGGCTGAGGCATAAGAATTGCTTGAACGTGGGAGGTGGACGTTGTAGTGAGCCAAGATCATGCCACTGTACTCCAGTCTGGGAGACAGAGCGAGACTCCATCTCAAAAAATAAAAATAAAAAATGTGTCAATGGTCGCAGGAGACACAGTCAGAATATATGGAACAATGCAAATTTATCACATATATAAGAAAATTACGGCCAGGCGTGGTGGCTCACACCTGTAATCCCAGCACTTTGGAAGACCAAGGCAGGTGGATCAGCTGATGTCAGGAGTTTAAGACCAGCCTGGCCTTATGTGGTAGAACCCTGTCTCTACTAAAAATACAAAAGAAAATCAGCCAGGTGTGGTGGCGGGCACCTATAATCCCAGCTACTTAGGAGGCTGAGGCTGGAGAATTGCTTGAACCTGGGAGGTGGTGGCTGCAATGAGCTGAGATCGTGCCATTGCACTCTAGCCTGGGCAACAAGAGCAAAACTCTGTCTCAAAAAAAAAAAAAAAAAAGAAGAAAATTATGAATAGATATTCTATGGACTACAGACTAATGTTGCCTTTATATATTTTAAAAAGCATCGTATTTGTTACAATCTAAACATAGAAATCAATCTATTTTCAATTTTGCATATGGAATTTGTTGAATTGTAGCTGAGACAGTAGGGTCAAAGAAAAATGGTGTAAAAATAATAGAATTACTGTTGTTGAATTTTTAATTTTTTTTATAAAGAAAATTCACTGATTAGGCAAGCTCAAACTGAAAATAGCACGGATTGTTTAACCTGTTTTGGGAGCTTGGAGGAGGAGAAGAAGGAATCAATATGTTCATCTTGGGGAAGATGCAATGCTAATAAGCAAAGGCAGGTAGAACTACAATTCCCATTTGCCATTTGGAAAAAGTCCTCCAAACTGCAAAGCCTCTTAAATATTCAAAAAAAAAAAAAACTGAACTATGTGACTTAAAAAAGTTTAAGTCTCCAACCTGTGAACACTGCAAAAGCTATAGACATAAGCTTCAGAGTTACTATCATCACATTTCAATGAGCCCTAGAGAACCTGTGAAGTGGTTTCTTCTGGAAAACCTCAAGTTGCTATTCCGCTCAACTTCTCAATAAAAACAAATAAGAACCCTTTTGGACAACAGAAAAAAGAGAGGCTTTGGGGAAGAACTCATATAACTCAGACAATGAATTAAAAATGAAACTTAACATTGTCTGAAACCAACAAAATAAAAATCTAAAATAATCAGAGATCACTCACATTTTGACTAAATGTAAAATAAATAAGATGGAGGACCCTGGGTTTAGAGTTTCATTTCATTTTTGGTTGATCATAAGGTTAATATAAGCCAACTTGAATTCTGTATATGCTAAAAGAGCCAATTCAATCTAAGACCCAGACTAATCTTCGGATTAGCGTGATCATATTCTATTATTCTCTTCAGGCTCTGGTTGGCCACATTAGAACTTGCTGTTAATTTGGAAGAAAATGGCTGGGCTGGTAAGGGATCTGGAAGCCATGGCACAAGGAACAGCGTCAACAAAGTTCTAAAGCTTTTACAAAAGGTACTTGAGTCTAAAACTTTAAAAATACCCTCATTTTCAAACCATAACCTGCAAGAGTAACACTCCCACTTGGGAATCAGAGATGATCAAACATCTGGCAACCTCAATTCAACAAATGACAGCAATAAAGCCACAGCTATAGACCCAGAAGTACCTATAGCAGGATTCAGGATGTCTAATCACATAAAACCTAAGCACCAATGCTATCACCAGAAGCCCAAACTACTACTCTGGGTTATCATAACTTTCAATAGATGTGGTCATAACACACACAGATACACACACTATATTGAAACAGTATCTATTTTAAAAGGCAGGGGGTTTTATAAAAATTCATAAATTTGATAAAACACAGAATAAAGTTGCAGTTCCTTAGGGTGGTATCATTCATATGAAATTGCACTGTGCCTGGAATAGGCACCCATTTTAATGTTTACAATTCATTTATATAAATTCTATTTGCTACCTGATACTGGTGTAGAACTGCTATTGAAGAGATTACTTGGCAACAGCTCAAAGTTAAAATTATGCTTGATGGCCTTCCTTTTCTTACTTGAGAAACCATGAGAAGAATCTACTGGCAATTTACGTTTAGCATTTGGTGTAAGAATCACCGGTGATACAGACAGCTGGGCTGAAAAAATATCAAAACAAAACCAACTTGTTGTTTCTACTGCAGAGTTGACAACATACAAAAGCTTTACATAATTTCTTCTTATAAAGCTATTACTTAAAGCTAAACAAAAAATGAGGATATATTTACATTATCAGTTAAACAGATGTTAACTAAAACACTCTGCAATTCCTTAAATGAAAATAAGGAAGTCGCAGAGGCAGGACTCTTAAGAGAGAGCAGTTACTTAAATCTAATAGACTAAAAGATGCATATGATATATATTAAAAAATATTAATTTAAGGAAGAAATTACAATCAAGGAGTTGAAACAAAAACTAATCTAAATATTATTTTTGCTTTTCATCATAGTTGAGTATTAACCAGTTCATTTCTTCACTCTAGAAAACAAAAGATCATGTTGCCTCTTACTGGCTGAATAATTGCAGCCACAGCAAATTAGGATAAAAAGTTGAAATACACAATAATGAACTTCTAGTCCTAAGATAAAAATGAGGTTGAACTATTTTCACATGCTCAATAGCATCTAAATTACAAACAGAAAAGCATGATTAAGAAGATTAAAGACATAACAGACTAAAAAAATTTTTGCCTACAATGCTGGGTTCATTATAGCCTATGTAATTAGCAAAGTCACAACATAGTATATACAGTACAGTATGTCTATTAAAAATAATATTTGATTTGATTAAATTTGATTAACTAATATAAGTTAGATAATTATTATTGTAATTATATTTTATAGAATACTATACAAATTTTAATTAAAATAAATGCATATAATAAATACCTACCAATTCTTTCTTGTTGAGGTGTAATAGAAGGTGTTCTGTTAGATTTAAATTTATTTAGTGCTCCACTAACAAAATCTGAAATGCAAGGCATAAGCAATTACAACTTAACATTTACTTGTCTTGCACCAATAATTCGTATTAACATTTGCGGTCTTTGTTCAACATGTAACTTTACATCAGCTTATAAATTTTAAGTTATTTAAGAGGAATTATTTCAAAATAGGAAAAACACTAAAGGACATATTTTTATTCATTCCCCACTTACACTTCCATATCCCTAAAAACAAAAGAAAAAAAAGACATAATACAGAAAGAAATGTAATACAAATACACATAATGTACAGTAAGGGTAGGGAAGAAGAAATCATTACATGTTAAGGCAAAAGATGAAGGTCTGAACTGAGGAAAGAACCATGGAAATGGAGGCATGAATAAAGATATTTAAAAGATCAGTAGAGATGGAAGTAAAAACATTGTATCAATAAATAATGTAAGCAAATGAATAAAAGTGTCTGGAAAACAATAAATAACATAGTTTGACTAAAGTTGCTCAAAGACAGGAAATAGTAGACAGGTATGCTAGAGTAATCCTATGAAAGACCTTGAATGCCAAGCTATAAATATCACTATTATCAATTAAAATTCCTGAAGGGTACGTGTGTGAGATACTTGAGTAGAGTTATACATTTAAAATGTAAGCCTTGGCCAGGTGCAGTGGCTCACACCTGTAATCCGAGCATTTTGGGAGGCCGAGGCAAGCAGATTACTTGATGTCAGGAGTTAGAGACCAGCCTGGCCAACATGGTGAAACCCTGTTTCTACTACATATACAAAAATTAGCCAGGTGGGGTAGTGTGCACTTGTAATCCCAGCTACTTGGGAGACCAAGGCAAGAGAATCACTTGAACCCAGGAGGTGGAGGCTGCAGTGAACCAAGATAGCATCACTGCACTCCAGCCTGAGTGACAAAGAGAGACCCCATCAAAAAAAAAAAAAAAAAAAAAGTGAGCCTTAATAGGAATACACAGGGTAGATTCAAGGAGGAAGCATAAAGACCAGATTCTTTTTTTTATTTTTATTTTTAATTAATTTATTTTTTTGAGACGGAGTCTCGCTCTGTCACCCAGGCTGGAGTGCAGTGGCACGATCTCAGCTCACTGCACCCTCCGCCTCCCAGGTTCACCCCATTCTCCTGCCTCAGCCTTCCGAGTAGCTGGGACTATCACGCCCGGCTAATTTTTTACATTCTTAGTAGAGACGGGGTTTCACCGTGTTAGCCAGGATGGTCTCGATCTCCTGACCTCGTGATCTGCCCACCTTGGCCTCCCAGAGTGCTGGGATTACAGGTGTGAGCCACCGCGCCCGGCCAGGAAGATTCTTACAGTAACGATGCAATAAACATTACAGAGATAGAATCTTATACGACATGAAAACTGTCTGATAATAGATGTTAGAGGACGAGGTGGAAGCCATGGTTAAAGCCTGAGTATCTAGGGAAGAGTGGTGCAGTTAGAAGAAAATGGAATTCACACAGAACCAGGTTAAAGAGGATGAAGATGGTCATTTCAAAATGTTAAGCTTAAAACACCAATGAAAAGCAGATGTGATGAGGTCTGCCTAGCAGGCCGTTAGTAAAGCGGAACTGACATTTTCAAGATAACGGTGGTACAGATGTGATGGTTATCTATTTAGATGTGATAACTGCACCTACAGGACTGGGAAGAGGGCGACCAAGACGATCTGCATCTGAGAAATAGCTCCATTTGGGATAGGAAGTTTTACGGGTTGCATTGTGTTCTCCAAAAAACCTATGTTTAAGTCCTAACCCCCAGTACCTATGAAGGTGACCATACTTGGAATTAGTGTCTTTACAGATGTACTCGAGCTAAAATGAGGTCATTCAGGTGGGCCCTAATCCAATGTGTCCTATAAGACGGAAGTTCTGACACAGAGCAACACCACGGGATGACATAGGCAGGGACTGGAGTGACGCAGCTGCAAGCCAAGGACTGCTCAGGTCTGACAGCCACTACCAGGAGCCAGAAAGAGCAAGAAAGGATTCTCCCTGCAGGTTTCAGGCATTCTGCCAACACCTCCATTTCAGACTGCTAGCCTCCAGAACGGTGAGACAAATTTCTGTTGGTTTAAGCCACCTAGTTTGTAGTACTTTGCTACAGTAGCCCTAGGAAAATGATACATAAGTCACCAATATTATCCTATCTACAAAGGAGGTAAAGAAGAAACACAAGTATGCAATAACAAGCCAAAAGATGAGAAAGGGAACAGGATAGTTAGTAACATTTGGTTCTGATATTCAAAAGATAAGAAATTTCCTAAAGTAATTGAAGAAGAATGGTCTCTGATTTCTTGATCAAGGAGATTGCAAGTTTTATTACCAACTCCACCATCATAAAACTTTTGGTCTTTCTGATTCTTCCTTGATAATATTTCCTTCATTATTTAGTTTGTACCCCTAACTAATCCATGTCACTAACAAGTTCAAACAATAATCTCGTGCCTGGATTACTGACACACATTGCTGACTATTCTCCCTACTTCCAAGTCTCAATTCTTCAAATCAGGTAGTTTTCTAAAAATTTTTAATCATATCATGCCTCACATCATAAATCTTCAATGATTCACTAACACCCAGGTTAATATTCTAATTCTTTAGCCTGGCATTAAGTTTACCATAATACCATCCTTCATCCTTATGCTGAACACTTCACTCAAGTCATACTGCTGTATTTACATTAGACCTAGGTTACTTCTTCCCTACACAAACCTTTCTTCATAGCATCCTTCTCCTCTAGAATAGGATACAAGTATTCTGATCCTCCACCCAATCCCACTAAATTCTACCCATTATTCAAGAAGGTTCAGTTTGACTCCTCTTTGACAAGTTCCTGATTGTTACAACCCAGGGAACTTTTCTCCTTTTAACACATTTTATGTTTATGCTAAAGATTTAGCACTTAACATTAGATTGTACTATCGCTTTAACTTTTTACATCCATATGTCCTATCTTTCCAGCTGTGCTATAAGCATCCAAAAGGCACATACCACAATTCATGTTTCTTTATGTGAAATGTACTTTCGATTAAAGCACATCACTCTACCTCCATAAAATGGGACTGCCACTTACCTCCTACACTTTGTCTTCTCTTTCTCTTATATTCACCAGGAGTTTCATATTCACCTTCTTCAAAGCCTTCTAGTGATGGAGTAGCACAGAGACCATCAATACCCAACATAGCTGGTATCTTTTCCAGAATAAAATCTGGTACACGCCCTAAATGAAAATGTTCACAAATAAGACAATTATTATCCTTCCTCTACTCTTCCCCAAAAATGTTGAGATAGTAATATACCAATTTCTTTTCTTTTTTTCTTTGCAGGAGGGGCCGGTACTGTGGGGTGGGCGTGAAGTCAGTAATATACCAACTTTCTAACAGTTGCCTTCATAGCTCCTTCGGAAGAAACAGAGATTTTCCTCATTTAAACAAATTCTGTTAATAATGCAACTACATCTTACCAATATCTGATGCATAATCGATAAGAGTCTGTACTACTGCAGCCTGTAATCGTAGCTTTTTTTCTGTGTTAGAAGACATCTTTTCATGTCCTTCATTTGTCTGAAGAAGATTTGGTGCAAATATTACTGCAAGATTGCTGCTATCCATCTTATTCTCACTGGATCTTAAGTGAATAAAGGCTTTATTAGATGGAGTCCAAGGTAAAAACATAGAAGAGTTAAAATCACGTATGTAGTACATTTTGAAGACCTCTTACTATCTGTCATACACAAGGGAAAATAGTTACCCTTCATCTACATGATTGGCTTGAACACAAAAAAGAATCAGAAATATATAGCCGCTCTATATTTAAATACGTATTCTAAAAACCATGCTAATCTTAGAGTTCATACTTTGCTTTTCCACAGAAATTGAACATCTTTATCTGATTTTCAAGCCTACACATAAAAAGCTGGAAGTATCAGAAGGCAGCAAGTATGTCTAGGATAAGTAGGCTCACTGAGAGCAGGGAGAGGGAAATTTTGAAAAGCAAAACAGAAATATTTAAACAAAGCCTTTCAGTGGACAATGAATTTTATAAACAGCAATGAACCATTAAGGCATTCATGATGATGACTTTAAGATAAGGAAATATTAAATCATTTGGTATGCTGTTTCTTAAATTACACAGAGTATACTCCTCATAGTAAAGAAATATGTAATTTTTAAAGAAAACTTTCCATTCCAAATAAAATGGAACATATCTACAAGCATTAAACATTAGTTAGTTGAAAAATTCAACTATTATTTGCCAAGAGTTTTAATTACCACTTACCTAAGAGAAACATTCCTGAGGAAGTTAAAGAAGTATCTTAATACATGAACTGTGTGGTCAGCCAGAAGACAGGAGAGCAACAGTGTAGCTTTATTCTTTTCCTCTGTGCCTAACTGTTGAGCTTTCAAAAGTGCTTCCTGCAAATCAGCTGGGAGAATGGGCTCTGGCAATTCCCTAAAAAATTGCTTAAGAAGTCCTGCAACATCACAAGGAGGTGCAGAAGATAGGCAACCTTCACCACTATCCAGTTTATTCTGAAATAAATATAATAATCTTGAGTATTTTGGCAACTTAAGAGTTTATTGCAAATAAAGTATCTTTTGTTATACTCTAATAAGAGTTATATTTAATAAATTTCTCTTAACTCTTATATTAAAATATGTCACTGCTTTATTTTTAATGATTTTTAAATTTATTTTTATTTTTATAGAAATGTAGTGCAGATTTTGTGGCCTGGGTTGGCTTCAAATTCCCAGGCTCAAGCAATCTTCCTGCCTCAGCCTCCCAAGTAGCTGAGACTACAAGCATGTGCCACCATACTCAGCTATGTCACTCCTTCTAGAAGGCTAACAATACAATTTAACAAATTTTTTCATTTTACGTAATAGTTGATAGAAATAAGGATCATGAACTTAAAAGTTATTAAATTTTTAAAGCACGATAGAAATAATATACCATTTCTTTTGGGAAAAAAATTCTTCTGCCATGAAAAACATGCAAATTCAATTTCTGTCAACTACTCATATTAATAGTTCTAAATATTTCAGTTTTAAAAACCAAATCAGAAAATGGTTCAAATGAAAAACTATAGTTCAACAATATGCTTACCTTTAGTGCTTTTAGGCGAATCACAGATCCTGATTTCCGAAAAAGCCCTTCGGTATGAATATGTTCTTCTAAAGATGTGCAAGCATCGACAAGAAAGCTGAAAGAGATGTTTTTTCAGTTGGCTAGATATACATCTTATCAAATCCTATTCCTCTGCTAACACATGAGCAGGCCAAGCACTACATACCTTTCAGAAGCTCTAAAGTCACAAATCTCTGTAGTCTTTGAGATAAAATGTTACTTTTAGTTGTCTACTTGCTTCCCAAATTCTTTTCCAAAGCCCATCTTTTCACTCATAACAACTCCAATGTGCACACTAAATTTTATCTCAATCCTACTTCATTTCTGTTTCCCTTCAGGACATAAGACTCGTCTTTTTTTACTGCCTCTACTTCTTCATATCTTAGTCTCCACTCACCCCTCTCCAATCATTCTCATACCTCGTAACTCCAAAGCAATAGCTGTCTTCAAGCTCACTAACAGCCTCTGCCTTGCCAAATCCATGGTATGTTGTCCTCATATTGCTTGATGTATCACCATCTGACACACCTGACCCCTTCCCTGTTCATCTCAAAAATACCTTTTCACTAGTCTGTTACTTTTCCTGCTGTCTCCCTGACTGCTCCTTCTCAAACTCCTTTTCTCATTCCTCTCACGCCAGACCTCTACATGCTGGAACAACCCAGGGGTCCGTCCAACGCCTTCCTCTTTTGTCTACTATCTCTCCATGGGTGACCTTCTCATCTCCTACATTACCCAAAAATAGGGCGACGTTCTTTTTTTCCTCACTCCAACATCATCCCTCAGAAAAGTAAGACCTATCCCAGTCCTTATAAGTCTTTTCATATTAAGGGGAATGTACCCAATTTCTTTATTTTGAACAATAATCTCAATCAATGTTGGCTTTAGATACCTAGATACTGAACAGCTGGCACCCACAAATTAGAATGAATATCAGATACAAACAACTGAGACAGCAGTACTGGTGCAGTGGCTGAATGTCAGCCTTATTTACAGATGGTAACTGACAAAACAGTCTTTTAATTAAACAAAAAGCAGGTAATGAAATTACAATGAAGATTTAGTCATTATTCCTGGGAATATGACTTTGCAATTCCAGACGCTGAAAATCTGTTGTTGTTGTTGTTGTTGTTGTTTTTTATTTTTTTCTTTCAGTTTTTATTTTGAGACAGGGTCTTGCTCTGTCACCTAGGCTGGAGTGATGCAATCACTGCTCACTGCAACCTTTGCCTCCTGGGCACAAGTGATCCTCCCACCTCAGCCTCCCGACTAGCTGGGACTCTAGGCACACATCACTACGCCCAGCTAATTTTTCTATTTTTTGTAGAGACAAGGTTTCACCATGTTGCCCAGGCTGGTGTTGAACTTCTGGGCTCAAGCAATCCACCACCTGGGACTCCCTAAGTGCTGGGATAACAGGCATGAGCTCCTGTTCCCAGCCTGTTGAAATCATTATAGGTGCTTATTATAAGAAAATCAAGCCTTTCATAGGTCATTTACAGAGCATAATGGTTACATGGTTACCTAAGAAGACTATGAATCTACACCTATAGGATGAATGGGGGGAAACTGCCCTAAGGCAACAAGGTGTTCAATAATTGCTTTTGGATGACATATCAATTAAAACCTAGATTATTGGTCTATAGTAGCCAAAAGGAACCCTACTTTAGATGGAGGGGAAATGAATTAAGAGATAAGTTTCATCATATGCATTTTTAAATTATATTCTTAAAACATAAACTTTCCTAGTAATTTCTGATGCAGTTAGAATAGGCCAGCACAGTGGTGCACACCCGTAATCCCAGTACTTTGGGAGGCTGAGGTGGGTAGATCACCTGATGTCAGGAGTTTGAGACCAGCCTGGCCAACATGGTGAAACCCCATCACTACTAAAAATACAAAAATTAGCTAAGCGTGGTGGTGGACACCTGTAATCCCAGCTACTCGGGAGGCTGAGGCAGAAGAATCACTTGAACCCAGGAGGTGGAGGTTGCAGTGAGCCGAGATCATGCCATTGTACTCCAGCCTGGGTGACAAGAGTGAAACTGTTTCAAAAAAAAAAAAAAAAAAGTTATTTATAAATAGTAAGTGGCATAGAAAAGCTAAGTGATACGTAATACATTTTCACAAATACTCTAATATCTTAGCTTAAATATTCTTTTATCCAATATTTCTTTTCAAGACACAGGGTCTCACTCTCTTGCCAACATTAGAGTGCAGTGGCAATGGTCATAGCTCACTGCAGCCTCAAACTCCTAGGGTCAAACAATCCTCTGCCTCAGCTTCAGGAGTAGCTGGGACTACAGGTGCACACCACTTTGCCCAGCTGATTTTTCTTTAAAATTTTTTTATAGATGGAATCTTCCTTTGTTGCCCAGACTGGTCCCAAAATCCTGGGCTCAAGCGATCCTCCTGCCTCAGCCCTCAAAGTGCTGGGATTATAGGCATGAGCTACTATGCGTGGCCAATATTTTTTAAACAAACAGACAAAAAGTCAAAATTATTACTGAATTGGTAATTCAGTATATTACTGAATCTGAGTTGTGGCAAAAGAATTCATATAGAACTGAAAAGTGACTTTAACAGAACAAATTTTTTTTGTGATTTCTAACATTTACTCATTACTAGAGTTTAAAATCCAATCCTGGGAAGGGGTACAAATTATAAATTTAAAATATGTAAAAGTTAAAAAAATTTTTTTAACATTAGCTAATGAGAGATGAAATCATTTGCTGGTTTGAAACAAGTATGTTTTCATCAACGATTTCTTTTAAACTCTCTAAAACCAGTTTGAAATGTTTACTCTCTTCTTCATTTCCCTGGCTAGAAGGCTCACTGCAGCCTCCACCTCCTGGGCTCAAGCAATCCTCCCACCTCAGCCCCCTGAGTAGCTGGGACGACAGGTGTGCTCCGCCCAGCTAATCTTTGAATCTTTTGCAACAAGGTCTCACAATGTTGCCCAGGCTGGTCTTGAGCTCCTGGACTCAAGTGATCCGCCCACCTTGGCCTCTCAAAATGCAGGGGTTACGGGCATGTGCCACTGTGTCCAGCCTTCTTTATTTCAAACTCTGCTTACCTTGGAATGTGTCCATATTCTGGTACAGCAGAATGGGGCAGTGCATTAAAGGGTACTCCAAATATTTTACCCTAAAATGACAAATTCAGTTACTCTAACACAAATATTAGGCATAATATCAGTTTTCTTAAACTTTAGGCAAATTAAAGACCTCGGAAAATTAAAAAAAAATCAGAAATAAATGATAAACTGTCAAGGAAAAAACAATCATTTCAAGTGCATTCGATAACAAATAATTACTATATTAGACAGGATGCTAAGTGCTGGGAGTACAAAGATGGCCAAGATAATGTCATTCCCCTCAAATAATCTAGTAAACTCAAGTTTCCAACCTGATCATAAAAAATCAATTGGGTTAGTGCTTAGTAAATTCTTAAAACAGAATTTGGTCCAAAACACTAACCTTTACCCCAAAAATACTATAGGTTCCTCTAATGACATTACAAATACTGACTATATACTTTCTTTTGCTCACCTTATAAACACACAAAAGACTAAGTTAACTGAAAAGCAAAACAGTAATTCCTGTCATTCATTGAGTCTTCCTAAAATTATATCAGAAGAGGTTATTTTTATACCTAAACCATTTTCCACCTTCTATAGAAGAGTGTTTTTCAAACCATGCCCTGAGGTAAGCAAGGCACGGGTGTGCAAATATTTAAGTCAAACTTCATTCAACTAGCTGGAAACCCATTTTTAAAACCTCACATTCAAATTTTAATACACTGAAGATCCCGAGAGTAAAGCTGTGTGTTGGTTAACTTGAATGTTTTTGCACACTGAAGGATAAAGAATCTGCCACTATCTTTGTGCGCACATTCGAACTTCTTAAAAATGTGTTGCTTTCCATAGCACTGAAAGGTAAATTCAAGCCTGTAAATGTCTGGTCATTCAAAATTAAGTGGGTATATAATCTCAATTAATATATAATTTAGTTTACATGCATCTGCTCTGTGAATGCTGCTTAAGTACTTTTTTTTCGATACCACAAGTTATCAAGCAAGCAGCATTGATGTTTTAAGAGCATTAAATTTAACTTTACATTTACAATAAAAATCACTCAGCATTGTTAATGACACATCACAGTAACAAAATTTTACTAATTCCTTTTCAAGCGCCTGGCTCCAATTAATTTACAAACGTTTTAAGCTGAAAAGACAGTATGGTACAGTGAGTGCTTAAGAGAGTAGGCTCCTAAAGGCAAAAAAGCCAAGTGGTTTTTTTTTTGGAGACGAAGTCTTGCTCTGTGGCCCAGGCTGGAGTCCAGTGGCGCAACGCAATCTCAGCTCTCTGCAAGCTCCGCCTCCCGGGTTCACCCATTCTCCTGCCTCAGCCTCCGGAGTAGCTGGGACTACAGGCGCCCGCCACCTCGCCTGGCTAATTTTTTTATATTTTTAGTAAAGACGGGGTTTCACCATGTTAGCCAGGATGGTCTCGATCTCCTGACCTTGTGATCCACCCGCCTCAGCCCCCTAAAATGCTGGGATTACAGGCGTGAGCCACCGCGCCCGCAAAAATGCCAGGTTTTAATTCTTGACTCTTGTACTTATCAGCTGAGTGACCTGGATCAAATTAACGTTCTGTTCCTCGTATCCTCACACAGATCCTAAGTCATAGAGCTGTAGGAAGAATTAAATAAATTAAAATATACAAAACACTTGTATCAAGTATCTGACACAGAAAAAGCTTTCAAAACATATTTGTTAATACTATCATCATTTTAAGCTAAGCTATTTAAAAAATGTTAGTATGGGGACCCCCTTATTGGGTAAATCAGAATTTTCTTGATACTGTGCAACCAAACCAAATGTAAAAATAAACCAGATACTTAAGCTGGTAAGTCTACTTCTGTTATATGTAACTAGAATTCAGCGTGTTTTCTTCCTTAAGTCTTACTATTTAGAATAACTGGCTTCACAAGTAACCACTATAATTTAATCTCATAAAATGTTTTTTAAAACCTTTTAAGATATTAGGGCTGGGCGCGGTGGCTTCAGCCTGTACATCCCGGCCTTTTGGGGGCCGAGACGGGCGAATCACGAGTCAGAATCAGACCATCTGGCTAACACGGTGAAACCCCGTCTCTACTAAAAATACAAAAACTAGCCAGGCAGGTCGCGGGCGCCTGTAGTCCCAGCTACTCGGGAGACTGAGCAGGAGAGAATGCGTTAAAACTCGGGAAGGCGGGAGCTTCAGTGAGCGAGATCCGCCACTGCACTCCAGCCTGGACGACAGCAGCAGACTCCGTCTCAAAAAAAAAAAAAAAAACAAAACTTTATATATTAGAATCTCACCTATAGTATCATTTTAAAAAAGATTTATAGTACTTTTCTTTAAAAGCTCAAAAACTACAATTAGCTAACAAACACAGTGGGCTAAAGAAATTGTTTTCAAACAAACTACCTATCCCATTAGATCTCATAACACAATGATCTTCTATATTGCTTCATTAAAATACTCTTGTGTTTCTAGCTGAATTTATATGGCATGATTACCAATTAGGAGGCAGACCACTGATATGACAACTATCATTAGATGAAGAAGTGGCCTGTGACACGCACTGTGCTAGGCCTACATAAAGAGCTTCACTTTTTAAAAATCCCTAAACAATTCAAGGAGAAATACTACTGTTCCCACTTTATAGATCGAAAACTGAAGCTTAGGGAAATCAAACAAGCAGCCCAAGTTTACAGATGTAGTAGGGGTGGAACAGGACTCAAACTCAGGTCCATCTGACTCTGAAAGCAGGCATCAGTTTTTCTTGTTAACGAGTGAAAAGGCCGGGCGTGGTGGCTCACGCCTGTATCCCAGCACTTTGGGAGGCCGAGGCGGGGGAATCACGAGGTCAGGAGATCAACACCATCCTGGCTAACACTGTGAAAGCCCGTCTCTACTAAAAATACAAAAAATTAGCCGGGTGTGGTGGCGGGCGCCCGTCGTCCCAGCTACTCGGGAAGCTGAGGCAGGAGAATGGCATGAACCCGGGAGGCGGAGCTTGCAGTGAGCTGAGATTCGGCCACTGCACTCCAGCCTGGGCGACAGAGCCAGACTCCGTCTCAAAAAAAAAAAGAAAAGAAAGAAAGAAAAGGGGTGAAGGGGTGAAAAAAAGTCCATATACAAACTCTTCCATATACTTACAAAATCAGCTACAGATTGAGATCTTGGAAAGCCAGTTTTACAATCAGAAATCACTGTAGCTTTTTAAATATAAGTACATGTATTGCCATTAGTTTGCTACCAACAAAAATAACTTCTCCAAAGTTTATCAGCGACTAAGAGGTACACATATTAGTTTTGTTAGTGGTTTTCTTCTCCAAGCACTTTTTTAAAGAAACCATAAACTTTAGAGCAATGTATATTAAGAGCAATGTATATTAATGTATTAGCTTGTCTCCAAGTACTAGGAAGTGCCATACAAATTAGGCACATAAATTTAAAATAAAATGCTTTACATTCAGCTTATTTTTCACAATGGAATTCTTGATGATGGGGCAGAGTTACTAAAATCTCATTCAAAATCCCTTTACCTCAACCACCAAAACATCAACAACTTTTCAATTATTCCACTCCGGCTTCTCAATTTACTCAAATAAAAAAAAATTCCTGTCTCAAAAGTATGACATGGCCAAGCAGCAAACTTATTTCTCAAATTGGTGAATATGCAGTTATCATTTGAAGCCTGTTTCTAATGTTCTGTCATACTTCTTCATCTACAGATTCTTCTAGAAAATGCATTGGTCTCCCTTGTCCCTCTACAACCTTACTCTACATTTTTAATTGTCACAACCGAGAGATGCTACCAGCATCTAGTGGGTAAAAGACAGACATCCCGCTCAACATCCCAATTCACAGAACAGCATTTCCTCTTCCCCTAATAAAAATTATCTAATCCAAAATGTCAACAGTGCTGAAGTTGGAAAATCCTGCAACTTTCTCTCAATGATCAAAAATCCTTAGGGGGAAAAAAAAAACAACCACCACCAAGAAGGTCCCTTTTTAAATATCAGCAATCAGCCATCTGAACTGAATTACACACCTAACCATTCTTTGTGATAGAGTGAACATTTTAGCACGATCTGGTATTAAGCGATGATAAAGGGGTGCCCTTTCTTTTAAACCTAAATCCCTTTTCACAGAACTTACCCCTATTTCCGTGGCTGCTGTTTCGTGTCTCCTGCGATCGCACTGCCCACGGACACCCTTCACCTTAATACCATAGAAGGCCCGCAGATGCTGCAACAGGGCCAACCTCACCAGCCTCTGATCCCACATTCCGGACACGTCGATCGCTCTCTGAGGCAGGACGCAGGTCCTGACCCTCGTTCGCCACCAAGTCTTCCAATTTCCAAACGCTCTCAAATCTGAACTCCGCTCCGCTGCCTTCCGGCCCCGTCTGGCACTCCTGCGGCCCCGAACCCCGGCCACTTCCACGGCTTTTCCTTGATCCTCACTTACATCCACTTACACAGACCCTCTTCTCTTAGCCCTTTGATCCAGCCACACCTCACTCTTCCTTCACTTACACCGACCTTCTTTCTGGTCACCCAATCCTTTCAGCTACTCACATAGACTTCGCTTCTTTTTGATTCTTTCCGTTTCTCGCCTATCGCCAGATTCTCACCACTTCGGGCTGCTTCCAACGATCCCCCCTTCCTCCAAACCTTACTGTCCCCGTCTGGTTCGCTCTGAAATGTGAAGAGGACCCTTCTCGCTCCTCCAGCCCCAGCAGGCTCAACTGGGTGCTCGTCCCCGCCCCAGCCTGGCCGCCGGACCAGCCGGCTGCTCGGGCAACTCTTCCAGTCCCGGTGCCCGCCCGGGCTGGTCGCCGCAGTCACCCCGTCTCACAGGCTGCTCGTCCCCTCCCCCATCAGCCTGCCTCTAGCTCCCGGCCTGCACATCCCGGTGCGCTCACGGAAGCCAAGCCGTTAGCCTCATGCTTCCGCCCCCACCACCTCCGCAGACACCCGGAGCCACCGCGGCCGTCACACCCGCAGTTTCAGCTCAGGCTCAAACTGCAGCGCCAAACAGCGCTCCACATCTGATTGGTCCACTCCTCTTTTCAAAATCAGGACCCCGGAGGGTGGCCGACAGCTGCCTGTCTTGGTAGGTGCGGGGGAAGGGGTGTAACGGGCAAACCCAGCAAACATGAAAAGTAGGATGAGTTTCACTTGTTCCTTCAAGGTCAGTTTTTGGGGCGGGGGGAGTACTGTTTAAAGGATATTTAAATACACCTGACCTGCGCCTCAGACCATACACGGTATTTGAGGAAATGTAAAAGACACCTTGTTCCCGTTTTTTCCCGAGCTCGGCTGTCGCTGAAGGACCTCTTACGAAGAAACTGTTCTACGGAACCCCAGTTGAGACAACTTGAGACAGGATTCATAAACGCTGATTTTAGTAACCCTTTCCCACCGCCCTTGGTGGGAACTTCGGCTCTGTGAGAATTGGTCTTTGGGGGACTGATGGTGATGCTGAAATCTTGTTGCATAGGAAATTAAGTACAACAAAGAAGACCCGTCGTGAGAGGAGAATGCGGAAGAAATGAGAAGTCTACGGGAGGTGGCAGCTGCAGAAGCTTGGAGTTGGATTTGGAGTTAGGAGACCCGGAGGAGCCCAGCTTTCGGTTCAGACTGTTATCTTGTTGACTTGCACGACTGCAAACGCCCTGAGCTACTTTTGTATTCTGAAACATCAGCGATCCCATCAAAATACTCTGTTTCTTGGGATGTAAGAAACATCCCAAGGCGGGATTTAGAGCGGGAGATTTGGACTCGATTTAAATACAGACAATATAGTATGCATTTACTAACACCACATCTCACCCCTACTAAACTCGGTAAGAGCAGCAACAGAACTTTATCTGCCATATGCACTCCTGTATTCCCATTACCAAATAGTGCCAGGGACTAAATGAATATTTGCCCAATGAATGAGTTTTAAGAAAGAAACGTTTGCATAAAATCATTTTGTTTCTTTTGGAGTTCAAGTCTTCGGGTATTTTACCCTTCCCAATCCAAAGAAAAGTCTCTGAGTGAAGAGATGGGAACAAAATGGAAGTTAAATATGTTGCTTTAACAACTGTTTATTGAACTCCTGCTATATACTATAGAATGATGAGCAAAACCAGGCACAATTTCGGCCCTGGAAGAGGAAAGGCAGGCATGTATTTATCAAGTAATTACATTAATGGGGGTACTTATCAGTTGAGAGAAGTGCACTAAGGAAAGGAATATGATTCTGTGATAGGGTATAATAAAAGATCCTTGACCAGGGAGGGGAAACGTACCAGTGATTGACTGACCCGAAGAATCAGTATAAATTGACTTGGTAGAAAGTGTAGGTGGATGGCTGAGTGGGACCATCATTCAGGAAGCAAATGCCTGCAGAAAAAAAACATCAATTTTAACAAGAAACAGTGTATCAGAGATGAAACTGAACCTATTCCTTGTCTTTTCTTCTTGCTTCAGACATAACTTTAGAAAATTGCTTACGCTGTCTTGAGCCTCATCTCTATCCCAAACTCCACACTCTTCTGTGTTTTAGCCGTCTCAAATTTCCGTTTCTTAAAGACCCATGACTATCTTGAGTGTTGTGTCTTTTTCTACGTCGTAATCCTTTTTTAAAGCTGAGCTCTTTTTGTCTCCTTTCTCTTAAGATGAAAATATTGGTTCTTTTTTTTCTCCACACATGGAGGCAATGAAAATATTGGTTCTTAATATTAACATAATGCTTATTTGCTTCATCTACGTATATTCACAGGTATATAAAAACAATAACAATAATAGCAGTAATAGGATAAAGAACGACTAAAAACAGAATAACAATAGTGATATTGCTAATGTTAGACAGATAATGAAGTTTAACTTTGCACGTGCTTCCTTTTTTCTAAAACTGTGTCCAACTGGGGATGTACAGTCAAGATACTATGTTGTAAATGAACTGGACATAACTCTTTTTGGTTATATATGGGTGTAGTGTAGTTTATTTAGCCAGGCTCTTACTAGTGGATATGTGGACTATTCCCAGTCTTTTGCTATTACAAAAGGTTCCTTGTGCGTATATAACATGCTGTTGCCAGTGGGTCTTTAGCATAGATTTCTATAAATGGGATTGTTAGGTCAAAGGGTAAAAGAACATGTTATTTTGTTTAATACTACCAAATTCCCTTTCATAGGGGTTGTGCAATTTTGTATTCACTCCAGCAACGTTTGCTGTTTCTCTGCAGCCTCTCCAATAGAATGAATTGTCAAACTCCTAGATGTTTGCTAAATCGATATGTAGGAAATGTTATCAAAGTATAGTTGTTTTTTTGTTTTGTTTTTTTTGAGACGGAGTCCTGACCTCAAGCGATCCACTTGCCTCAGCATCACAAAGTGCTGGGTTTACAGGTGTGAGCCGCTGTGCCCGGCCTTCAGTATAGTTTTGTATTGATCTTTTGTGAAGGAAGTGGAACATCTTTTCAAATGATGCATGCATACAACAAAGTATTATGAAGCTCTTAAGGAATGTGGAAGATATATGACTATGATGTGAAGTGAAAAAGCAAGGCACGAAAGAGTGTATATAGTATGCTACGTTTGGTATACGGGGTGTTACAGATACATATACAAATGAATACTTATATTTTCAAAAATAAACAATAGAAAGGTAAACCAAAATCTAATAAAAATGGTAAACAATAGGAGAGATCAAGAACAGGTGCGGGAGAAGATAGGAATGGAAGCTAGACCTGTCTGAATAGATCTTGTTTCATATATAAACTTGGAACCCTGTAAATGTGTAACATGTTTAAAATACAAAATAAGGCCAAAATAAGGTGGTGGCTCACGCCTGTAATGCCAGCATTTTGGGAGGCTGAGGTGGGCGGTTCACTTAGGTCAGGAGACCAGCCTGGCCAACATGGTGAAACCCTGTCTCTACTAAAAATACAAAAATAAGCCAGGCGTGGTGACGCATGCCTGTAATCCCAGCTACTCGGGAGGCTGAGACAGGAGAATCCCTTGAACCTGGGAGGTGGAGTTTGCAGTGGGCCAAGATCCGGCCACTGCACTTCAGCCTGGGAGACAGAGTGAGACTCTATCTAAAAAAATAATAATAGGCCAGGCGCAGTGGCTCATGCCTGTAATCCCAGCACTTTGGGAGGCCAAGGCGGGCGGATCACAAGGTCAGAAGATTGAGACCATTCTAGTTAACGAGGTGAAACCCCATCTCTACTAAAGATACAAAAATTAGCTGGGCGTGGTGGCGGGCGCCTGTAGTCCCAGCTACTGGGGAGGCTGAGGCAGGAGAATGGCATGAACCCGGGAGGCAGAGCTTGCAGTGAGCCGAGATTGCACCACTGCACTCCAGCCTGGGCAACAGAGTGAGACTGTATCTCAAATAATAATAATAATAATAAATAAAATAAAATGTAAAAGCAACTCCTAAAATGGAAAACAAAGTGCAATAAATCAATCAATCTTTTCACCTGTTTAAGGGCTATTTGTACTTCTTTTTATTTAAATTGTCCATCCTTTACTTTCTATCAGGATGGACTTTAAAAATATTTTAGAGACTTTTTTATATATTAGCCCCTCATGATATAAGTTGCATATATTTTTTAGACTTTTTGCCTTGCTTTTTTGTTTGTTTAAATTATAGTTAATCTCTTCCCTTAATGCTTCTGGATTCTGATCATAGGAGTATTTTCCCCACTCCTGAGTTATAAAGGTATTTACTCTTGTGAATTCTAGTACTTAATTTTCTAGTACTGCTATGTTTTTCATTTTTTAATATTAGATCTCTGAGGCTGGAGTGCAGGGATACGACCCCTGCTCACTGCAACCTTCGCCTCCAGGGTTCAAATGATTCTCCTGTCTCAGCCTCCTGAGTAGCTGAGACTACAGGTGCATGCCACCACACCTGGCTAATTTTTGTATTTTTAGTAGAGATGAGGTTTCACCATATTAGCCAGGCTGGTCTTGAACTCCTGACCTTAGGTGATCTGCCTGCCTCTGCCTCCCAAAGTGCTGGAATTACAGGTGTAAGCCACCGCACCCAGTCCTTAAATTTGGAATTTATCCAGTGTAGAAAGAATGGATCCAATTTTATGTGTTACCCCACGCAGCTATCCAGCTGTAGACATTGTAATTTTATTTCACTTAGTGAACTCCCACACCTACTTCTAAAAGTAGGAACACACTACTGAAAACCTCACTGAGTTCCCCGAGGATGAAAAGGGAAATCTTCCCTTAAGCATTAGGCTTCGCTTTTAGTGCCACTAGATGGCACACATCCTTTCCCTCAGATGTTAGCTCACCTAGCTTTCATTTCTGTGAAATCAATACATGAAGTATCTGCCAAAGGGCCTTCCTGAACCTTTTACCGGCATCCCTGCTTGAAATAAGATGATTTGTGCAACTTTCAAATTAGGTCAGAGTTTTTTTCTGTAAAACCAGAATGACTGTTCCTAGAATCACTTGCCTCTAGGGCCTGGCACGTTCCACAGACACATTGTCCCATTTATTATTAAAACAGAAATGTTTGAAGAAATGTCTATCATATTCTGTCCTAATTGTGGACCAAGATGGAAAACAGGACAGTGATTTCCTGAGGTCACTGGGGCTATCACCAGAGTAGTAGACACTGGTACTTCACCTAGATCCCCCTCCAGGCTGAAGTGCTCACTGGCCCCGCTGACAGGAGTGCTGGCTCCTCATGGCTCACAGCTAAGTCCCCCTCTGAGAGCTGCTCCATGGAAAGGACCTGCCTCACCCCAAGTGACGCCTTCCCTTGGGCAGTCTACATTCCATGCCTGGTTAATATGGGGTTTCATAGGCCTGGCCCCCTTATCAAGACAACTGAAGGACCTCCCAGTTCTAGAGCTTCCTGAAGGAGCAGCTGAGATGATGGAGCTTGCAGGACTGGAAGTTACTCTGGGTGAGTCAGTGAGTGGTGAGTGAATATGAAGGCCTAGGACCTTAGTGTACATTGTTATGGACTTTATAAACAGTGTATACTTAGGCTACACTAAGTTTATTAAAATTTTTTCTTTCAGTAATAAATTGACCTTAGCTTACTATAACTTTTTAATTTCATCAACTTTTAAATTTTTTTAACTTTTGACTCTTGTAGTAATAGCTCAAAACACAAACACATTGTACAGCTATACAAAAATATTTTCTTTCCATCCATATTCTATAAGATTTTTTCTATTATTTTTATGTTTTAAACTTTTTTGTTAAAAACTAAGACATAGGCCGGGCGCGGTGGCTCACGCCTGTAATCCCAGCACTTTGGGAGGCCAAGGTGGGCGGATCATGAGGTCAGGAGATGGAGACCATCCTGGCTAACACGGTGAAACACCATCTTTTCTAAAAATACAAAAAATTAGCCGGGCGTGGTGGCGGACGCCTGTAGTCCCAGCTACTCCGGAGGCTGAGGCAGGAGAATGGTGTGAACCCGGGAGGCAGAGCTTGCAGTGAGCCGAGACTGCGCCACTGCACTCCAGCCTGGATGACAGAGCGAGACTCCGTCTCAAAAACAAACAAACAAAAAACTAAGAGGGCTGGGTATGGTGGCTCACACTTACAATCTCAGCACTTTGGGAGGCCGAGGCAGGTGGACTGCTGGAGTCCAGGCGTTTGAGACCAGCCTAGACAACATGACGAAACGCTGCCTTTACAAAAAAACATGAAAAATAGCCAGGCGTAGTGACACGCACCTGTAGTCTCAGCTACTTGGAAGGCTGAGGTGGAAGGATTGCCTGAACCTGGGAGGCACAGGTTGCAGTGAGCTGAGATTGCACCACTGCACTCCAGCCTGGGCGATAGAGTGAAACCCTGTCTCAAAAACAAACAAAACCAAAATGAAGATACCAACTCACACATTAACGTGGGCCTAGGCAGGGTCAGGATCATCCATATCCGCTGGTCCCATAAGATTACAATGGAGTTGGAATATTCTTATTGCCTAGTGATGATGTTGCCGTAGTAGCATCACTATAGCACAGTGCAATCCTCACATATTTGTGGTGGTCTGTGGGGAGGTATTCCAGAAGAAGGCATTGTTATCATAGGAGATGATAGCTCCTTGTGTGTTATTGCGCCTGAAGACCTTCCAGTGGGACAGAATGTGGAGGTGGAAGACAGTGATGTATTTATATGGTCCATTGTTGACCAAAACATTGCTATGTGGTGCATGCAAAGAAGTAACTCAGGCCCCACCCTAGACCTACTGAATCAGAATCTGCATTTTTATGATTCTCAAAAAAAAAATTTGTACATCAAGATTTAAGAAGCCCTGATATAGGCTCAAAAGATAATGGCCTAAGTTCAACAATGTTTCTCACTCTGGCTTATTAGGCGGAGAAAGCAAGCAATGTTTTGTTGTGTTTTATGATATGCAAATTAAACAAACAAAAAGTAGAAAGCATCCAGAGGAGAAACTTGATTATCTGACTAGATAATTTTCAGTATCCTAGTCTCCTCAGGTAACAGGGGTTTCTCTTACTCTTGAGGTTGCCTTGTAGGCTGTTCTGGCATCCAAAATGATAGGCTAGGACTTGTGAACAGTCTACTCTGACTTGATCAGATGTAGCTCAGACATCTCTGAAAAGAGAAGGGAAGGAAGGAGGATTGAACCTCAAACTACAGCATCCTTCTAAGACATTTTGGACAAGTTGATAGGGAATTCCCCACCAAAGTCCCATGTTAGAGTTCTGCATCCCACAGGAATGGACCAGCACTAGTAACCCTCAGTCATTGACTGGGGACAGCCCAGAGTGCAAAGGCAGTGATGGATCCCGAGACGAGCAGCTAGGTCTTTCAGTCAATGATGCTCCTTGCAGCAGGAGATCTGACTGGTACATTTTTTTATGGCCGCCATGGGGAATGAAGTCAGATGACCTGGGTTTGAATTCTGGTTCTACCACTTAAGTGTGGAAAAATTATCTAATTTGTCTGAGCCCCAAATTCATCAGCTGTAAAATGGAAATGAGTAAGGTATCTATGTCAAATAGTTGTTATGTGGATCACATGAACCGTATAATATTCTTACTTAGATCATGTTATTCTCAGACACCTCAGTATCAAACACCTCAATAAACGTTAACTATTTTTATTACAGATACTTTTAGCTGATACAAAGTCAGAGGTCTCAGCCCTCAGGAAATGTTGACAGCTGGCGAAATGCTGAAAGGTAGGAGAAAGCCTATACTGTGTGTATCATGTACAGTGCCACTAAAACTCTTATCTAGGACCTTTTGAATGTGACTGTTCTTGCTTCTCAGACAGCAAAAGCCTTATCTGCTGAACTTCACCTCCAAATGCTTAATACCAGGGAAAAGGACAATGGCCTCATTTACCTGCTAGATTGGCATGGCTGGTATGGGGACCCTCATCTGCACGTTTCCCTTGCAGAGTTTAGTGTGTTTATCTATTTATTCTGCGTGCATTTTGTGGAGGTCAATGATGCTGTAAACACGAGAGAGCTCCAGGATCAGTCAAACACATGACAGAGTATTGAAAAGGTCATCACGGTAAAGTACATAATTTTAATCCACAGAAGGTATGAGGCATTACATTCCTAATGCGTCAACTTTTTTTTTTTTTTTTTTTTGAGACTGAGTCTCACTCTGTCACCCAGGCTGGAGTGCAGTGGCGCAATCTTGGCTCACTGCAAGCTCCGCCTCCTGGGTTCACGCCATTCTCCTGCCTCAGCCTCCTGAGTAGCTGGGACTAGAGAAGCCCGCCACCATGCCCGGTTAATTTTTTGTATTTTTAGTAGAGATGTGGTTTCACCGTGTTAGCCAGGATGGTCTCAATCTCCTGACCTTGTGATCCGCCCGCCTCAGCCTCCCAAAGTGCTGGGATTACAGGCATGAGCCACCGCGCCCGGCCCCCTAATGCATCTTTTGATCAGAATTTATAGAAGATGACAAAAATGAACTACCTCAAAGCATTTTCACCACCAAAATTGAGATACGGTTAGATTCATTCGGCCCGTGCCAGCAGTCTTAACTTCATTGAACTGCTTTCTGTGTTCATGGAATTCTGTCTTAATGGAACTTGACAAGATGGGGAGGTGTTACCGCTTTGAAACCCTTCCTGAAGACTTAAGGAAAAACAAGAGATGGGTGAAAGTTGAGCCAGCTGGTGAGACTTCACGCATTTCAAACCAGCCTGATGGTTAAGGTAATGCTGATGGTTTCTCAAGAATATTGGTCACATAATTTATGGCTCCATGATGCTGATGGGCTCAAAAGCATGATGTACCCTTCCCACTGGGGACACTGGTGACCTTTGGAGAAGTCTCAAGAGCCAACACCTTTCGATTTTAGGAGCAACTGAAAATCTTACCTAAAAATGCCCCACTCTGTGATCTCCGTAATTTCCTATTAGGGGCTGGTTGCTTTGGCTTTAGTTACTGTCTTCTAAAATGCAAATTACCCTGAGATATGAGACACCCATTGTGAATAACTGTTTTATGTACTTTATTTTCTAAAGAGAGAAGTTAATAGAATTAGACCATGGGCTACCTGAGGAAGAGAGAGAGGGGCTCAGAGGGAGAAATGGTTAAAAAAAAAAAAGGGGGAACATTTGGAGGCAACAAATCTGAGTCTATTTCAGAATTTTACCTGGGGCTGAACCTAGTGATTTTTTTCTATTTTTTAGAAGAATACAAAAAATTAGCTGGGCGTGGTGGTGGGCACCTGTAGTCCAGCTACTCGGGAGGCTGAGGCAGGAGAATGGTGTGAACCCGGGAGGAGGAGCTTGCAGTGAGCGGAGATCACGCCACTGCACTCCAGCCTGGGCGACAGAGGGAGACTCCGTCTCAAAAATAAATAAATAAATAAATAAATAAATAAATAATAAAAAAATAGAAGAATAAAGCTCTAGATTTTGGAATGTGCATACTTATCTTGCGGTACCATTGTGTGAAATAAATGAGACAGGTGAGAATGTTTTCTAATGCAAATATCTTAATACAAACAAAGTATGGTGAGGTACTATTTCAATTTGTAAATTAATTCAATGTTTTGTTGTTGTTGTTGTTTGTTTGTTTTTCTTTTTGCCAAAATACACCTCCTTTTCCACCTGGCTTCATAATCTTGACTGTGTATCAAGTATAAGGGGCGAGGGGGAGGACCCTACCAAAAACATATCTGGATACTAGAAACAAATTTTTCAGATCAACGACCTGTTCTAAAAAATAATGTTGAAAATTTCAAATGGAAAGAAATGGGTTTTGGGAAGGATTGAGTACATTTTTGTGATGTTCAACATTATTTTTTCTTACAGTTTTAAAAACACAATTGATGTTTCTATGAATTTGACTTAAAAAAATTAAGAACTATATTAAAATTTACCAGCAGAGGGGAGTGAAAGAACACAAAACAACTTTCAGGTTAGGGAAATTTTTGGCATAAACAGGGCAGCAATGCCCTCAAATCTATTCTTCTTTATTAGCCAGTGAATCCATGTGAGCTAATTTAATGTTATTAACGCTCAGTCTATAATGGAGGGCAAATAAACAGACCTGTAGGTCACCAAAGGTATTGACTTTTGATCATAAGTTCCAGGGGCGAAAATAATAAACTCTCCATGCATTTTTTTTTTTTTTTTTTTTTGAGATGGAGTCTCACTCTATTGCCCAGGCTGGAGTGCAGTGATGATCTCAGCCACTGCAAGCTCCGCCTCCCGCGTTCACGCCATTCTCCTGCCTCAGCACTCCTGATAGCTGGGACTCATAGGCCCCCCGCACCATGCCCGGCTAATTTGGCTTTTTTTTTTTTTTTTTTTTTTTTTGAGTAGAGATGGGATTTCACCGTGTTAGCCAGGATGGTGTCAATCTCCTGACCTATCGTGATCTGCCTGCCTCGGTCTCCCAAAGTGCCGGGATTACAGGCGATGAGCCACCTGCCCAACTGTCAGGATGAATGTTTTTTATCTTAATCTTTTTGAATGTTTTCTTTGTTAAAAAAGGTCAATTAATAGTAATAATAACATATATAATATGGTAACCAAGATATGACAAATATGAATTATAATATGATATGAAATAACCAAGAAATTGTATTTTCCCTTTTTCAGGAAAGGTACTCTACCCTTCCCCATTTCTATTATCATGCTTTAAGTACCACGTAAAAGAGTTCAACATTAACAGACATAGAAGTATCTCTCTGGGAGTTTACAATCTAAAGACTATGACTGCAAGGTAGACAATTATCTGGAAAGGGTATAGACAGAGGGTTGTCTGAAGTGTGTCCGTGAAAGTATCCACACACACACGCACATGCTGAGGCTGGGGAAGCATCCATGTGTCAGGGTTTTGAAGAGTTCAAACAATGTCGATAAATAATTCTGCAAAAGGTGTATGTTGAGAAAATGTAACTAAAGGAGAAAGAAGAGCTGGAACGTCAAAGTGTCTCTACCAATCTTCATTGATTTTAATAGGTTGACATAAAACCTCCAAATAACAATCACCAGTCATCCAAAAAACGGACCTCAGTTTGAGCTAATTCCTTGGTCTTTAACAGTTCTTTAACAGCAGGAAACATCTCAAACTGTTCCAGTCGGGTTTCAGCAATTTCCTGTTTTTGAACCTACACACTTTTATCTCTCCCATGGAAAACATAAACATCGGGGTGAAATGGAATTCAGGATTCTTAAATGGTCCCCTATTCTGATATGGCTAATTTTCCATCATCGAACCTCTGGGGTTACTTCAATACAAAAGCCTGTTAGCCATGGAAATGGAGCAGCTGATTCAAAGTGGTGAAATTGATAAGAGAGGATCTGTGCAAACTGCCAGGCGCCTAGGGTGGAATGCGAAATTCCCTAATACAGTACTACTTTCCTCTGGATCTGTAGCTTGGGGACGCAGCACACCACCGGACTTGGCTCCTCACCCCTTTCAAATCTGCAGGAAGTGCATCTCTGCTGGTCTGAACCCTGCCATTTCTGAGTTGCCTCAGAGCTATAGGAAAACATCACTAACTCAATCTGTTGCCCTGAAATGCTGAAAATAAAAATAGCATCCGAGAGGCTACTTCCCTAGATTCCTGTTATTTCATATAAAGATTTTATTTTTCCTTGAGCTACTGTTCCTTTCTGACCATCTTCCTCATTACAGATGCTCTTTCAAAATTTCATGTTGCACCCAGTCCTGAATGTCAGCAAGTTTATTGGGGAGAAGAGGAAATATCCTTCTCCCTTCTGTGCAGAGGCAGGAAACGTTGGGGGAGCAGGTCCATTGCACCATAAGGCCCCCATCCTGGGCCCACATGTGTCTATGCAGATGGCACCAAATAAAAGAAAATTCCTGGAGGAAGCAATCTGAATGGGAGAAATCACAAGAGCTAAAAACCGTTGAAAACCTTTTGAGAGAATCTGGAGGAAGAGGCTAGGCATGGAGGCAATTTCATGCACTTAGACTTGGGGATGGCGGAGGATTCCTAGGCTGATTGTAGGTGTGTTTGTATGTGACACATGCCTGTAATAATGCGCTAAATCTTGCTTTTGATTTGTTTGCTTGCTTGCTTGTTTTTTGGCATGAGCTTACTATAGGACTACTGAGACTTGGCTGTCTCCTTCAGCACATCATCCTGGGAAACCGTTGCTTGGTTTTCTGTTCCTAGCTGAAAGGTGTTTCCTGTAGAGAGGTTACCCCGACTTACCTATGAAGGATGACCATATAATTTGTCATATAAACAGAACACATTTCAGAGTCCAAGTGGACACTAAAAAGTAGTAGACAATTGATCTACAACAAATGAAAACATGGACATCACATGGTCAACGGTTGACTCGGATAGTGGTGATTACTGGAATCCAGAATGGGCCCAATTCACATTCTCTAAGGGCTCACGAGAAATGCTCTTTCCCCCAAAACCCTGGAAACAAGCATGAAACAATAAGCTCTTGGAGTATTCTATTTCTGCTTCATATTGCAGTCTCAAAAAGAAGCCTCTTGTTTTGTTTGTTCAAATGCCAGATTACAGTCTCTTCTCAGTCTAGCCTCCGTTTAATTACTTTACTGCATCTTTGCTATTTCCCTTTGGCTTGTCAATACTCCCTTTAGACTTCTATCAGCACATTTGGATATTATGATAGTGCAGGCAGTCCAGAGTCATAAGCCTAAGACCCTCTACAACCCAGGTGGGAAGATCAATCTAGCATACATGCATGAATTAAAGAACAATGAACTATTGTTCTGGATAGAACGCACTATGAGTTCAGATTTAAGAAGCACGAGACTGGCCTGGGCTAGATTTGTCAAGAAAGTCTCATGGAGACAGTAGTAACACGTGCTGGGTCAAGGAGGATTAAGACTGACATATAGGAGACAGTGAGCAACCCTCTGCCAGGAAATAGAGTATTGAAGGGGAAGGAGTAAATTGAGCTCCAAATAGGCAGACCCTTGAATGAGAAATGTGGCTTTGCAAAGATTTGTCATAGACCATTTTCAGCCTTTGAGCAGGAGAGTGACCAGGTAAAGTGGTACTGCGGAAAGGAAAATCTGACAGTGGTATGCTGACCATTGGTGTGGGAAGGTCTGAAGTAGAATCACCAGGATAGAGTCTGTTTAAAGAATCTAGTTATAACAAGAAAAACAACTTCATTGAACTTTAATACTGTGCCTCTGTCTCCATCCCTTTGCATACATGTTAGATGCCACTTTCTGATACATTTCTTTAAATATTTCATTGTAAGTACAGGCGTATATCTTCTCTTTATTCATCATTATATTCCCCCAGAAAGGATGTAATGTTTTACTCTGGCACTTCCACATTTCACTAGGCACCCCCAACATCCTGAATATTTAAAAAATAATCTAGCTTTCCCCACAAAATAGGGTACTACCTTTTCTCCATTTCCTTCTATTTATTATTCTCACAGATTTTTAGGGGTGACTTTATGCTATGTAAACTATCTCCACTTCATACATTTAAAAAAGAAAAATAAACAATTGGTTATGTTTATTAAAGGGGAATCCAAAAGGTGGAATCTTTTTGGTGTGGTAATTTTGCCAAAGTCAAAGAGAGTCGGGGTCAGACTGGGAATGTGGGAGAGCCTTTCCTTTCCAGTCTTAGATACTATAGAGAACTTGGGATCCTGGGAGAAACATGGAGTACACAGGTGGAGAATAATAATGCCGTCAGCATGGTGTCATTTACAATATGCTTGCTGCAGGTCTTCAGGCCCAGTTTCAACATCAGGCCAGTTCCCTTTGGCTGTGTGACACTGGGATAGTCACTTAACATCTCTGAGCCTCAGTTTCACCATCAGTCTAACAATGGTGTTTTACTTGATGATCCTTTTCTTCCTGGTCTTAAGTTTTTTATTTTCACAATTTCAGGAAATACATATTTGGCAATAAAGCTCCATTTTTGTTGGATTTCTGTTTAATTAAAAGCTTGGTCAGCCTATTTATGCATGTCATGTTGCATACTTGAAGTCCTGACCAAAAAAGTTAGAAAATGCTTTTAAAATAAGTCTTCCTGTATAATAGTCTACAAAGAAGAGATATTTATGGTAAATTGCTTAGCACAAATATGTATTTATATCAGGCTATTATAAAGCAAAACTTGGCTTCTTTCTTACATACTAAATGTTGAACCAATAGCCTGATGCAGCTGCCAAAAACTTAACACACAGCCTTAGACCATTTCACTTGATGGACATTTCCAAATTATAGGCAATAATAATCCCATTCTTTTCTGCACTAATCAGGCAACATCTGGGGTCTTTTTATTTAGTTCTGGAGTCCATATTTATGAGAGATATATTGACACACTGAGTTCCCTAAGAGAGAAGCACTACCGAAGTGGTGCAGGGTCTTGGAAACCTTTGTTAACTCTTGGAGGTATAGGCCTGAAGACTAGAAGAGAAGCCATATGGGTATTTCAGCCTTTTGGTATAGAAAAGTATAAGTACTGACTTATGCTGTGCTGTGTTAAAGGATCGGTGACAGAAAATGGATGTGAGTTTAAGAGAGACAGATTTTACCTCAAAATAATGAAGACATTTCTAACATCTAAAATCATCCAACAGGGGAAAGAACTAATTGATACATTAGTGAGATCTGGAGGCTTGATCACATTTACACTCATCCCCAAAAAATTCAAATAGAGGCACAGATTCTTTCCATCCTGGGTGACTTCTTGAGGCACGGCTTTACCACTCTTCTCATGAAGAGGTGGACTTTGCTTTTTGTCTCCTTGAATCCAGGCTGACCCCATGACTTGCTTTGACCAATGGAACTCAGTGGAAGCAATGATGTATGTCTTTCAAAGCTTCAAAGCTTAGCTTTTTTTTTTTGGTGGGGGGTGGGGCAGGGTCTTGCTCTGTCACCCAGGTTGGAGTGCAGTGGTGCAATCTCGGCCCACTGCAACCTCAGCCTCACGGGCTGAAGCCATCCTTCCACTGCAGCCTCCAAAGTAGCTGGGAGTACAAGTGCGTACCGTGCCCACCTCATTTTTGTGTATATATGTATGTGTATATATGTACATACATGTATTTATAGATATTTATAGAACAGGGCAGGGGCATACCACAGAGGGGGGCACACGTTTTCAGCCACAGTCACACCTGGAGGTGTCAGCTCACCACTACAGCAGACCAAGTCACAGATGAAGGGGGCTGGCTTTGGGGCCGGGGGAGCCACTGTCAAGTCACAGAACAGCCGCCCAGGCAGGCCTGGAAAGGGAGGTCTCTGAGAAGAAGACGGATCTGTTTAGAGGTCGAAGGGGGGCCTGGGGCTCTCAGGAATGGATGGACTTGCCAGACCCGATCGGCTGGCAGTTGGAGAGAAAGCAGAGAGAAAACAGGAGAGAGAAAAGCGAGCAGAGAGCTGGTGAGGCAAGTGCAGAGCACAGGTGTGCCACAGCAGCTGTGGGAGGGCCAGGGAGGGGAGGGCGCAGGTGTGGGTGTGGCAAGCTTCCTGGAAAAGAGGGGCTGGAAGGGAAAGGGGAGGAAGATCAAGGGAGGACTTGGAGCTTCACAGGTAGTGCCTGGGGGCTGCGGCGGCCCTCCCTACCCCACACACGCTGGCCTCGTCCACAGCACCCAGGCAGTGCACCCACCGGTCAGACCAGTGCTCGGCCCCCTCGGGCTTCCCTCTTCTCTGGGCACCCTGTCTTCTAACCCCTGGTCCGGGGCCACCTCTCACCTTGGGGAGCCCAACGCAACAGCCACCAGGTCTGATAGAGAAGGAACACTGCTTGAACCAGGATGGTGAAGCTGAAAGGGATGGATGGCTGGAGTGATCACTGGAGCCCCCTCTGGGCAGTCAGAAGGCCCAGGATCCTCTGAAGGGACCCTGGGGGAGGCAGGGAGGGCAGGCAGCCGGATGCCACTGGCTGTAGACTTATAAGTCTAATAGGGGAGCCTCAGCTTGTTGGGGGTTGCAGGTTGTATAGGGGAGGCTGGGCCCTTCCTGCTGGGAAAAGCAGAAGAGGGGGAGTCCATGGCGGGGGGGGGGGCTTGCCGGGCAGAGCTCAGCCAGGACACCAGGCACTGTGGTCCCCTTGGCTGAATAGCAGAGGCGACCTCTAGGAACAACAGGCCATGGTGCGTGAGCCTGCTGACCGGCGATAGTGCTTCAGCGGGGACCAGGGACCCTGCCTTCCGTCACACGCTGGCAGCTATGATGGGACCTGGGAGGGAGGGAAGGGGCTGTGTGTCACCGCCTGGCCTGTGAGGTGTGTTGTGGGTTGACCGTGTGTATGGGACTCTCGAGGTTTTATCCTAGGTCACCTCTGGATTGGCGACAGATAGAGGAGGTGGGACCCTGCCTCTCACCCCTCCTCTGCAGTGGATTTGGCTCTCAGCACTCCCAGGCTGGGAGCTGGATGCCCTGCCCTGGCAGAATGACTCAGACTGCACAACAGGTACGGCGTGCCCAGGATGACATTCGTAGGCCTCTGGTGGCCTCAGAGTACAGCCCCACACACAACCCCCTCCCAGCTCTCAGCACTTACACCATAAACCACGAGCTCTCTGACGATTCCAAACAGCACCCACGTCTGCCAGCTTGGGCACAGAGCCTGTTCCAAGAGCCCCCAGGCTCAGCCATGGAGGCCAGGGTGCTATGGGGCCATGGGGGCAGCCCTGGTACCTGCGTCCAGCCAGGACGCTCTGCACCTGCAGCCAGGAGTTGTCCACGGGCCCCCAGGGTCGTGTTGATGTCGCTGATCTTTTTTTTTTTTGGCAATATTAAGTTTATCCCTGTCTTTTTGTCTTGAAAGTCCATCTTTTTTTTTCTTTAATTGAAAGTCTATGTTCTTAAATTTTGATTTTCTTGTTTTAAACAAACTTCCTCCTCATTCTTTGTGTGGTTTGTTTTGGGGTTTGTTGTTGTTGTTGTTGTTGTTGTTGTTGTTTTCTTGAGACGGAGTCTCACTCTGTCACCTAGGTAGGAGTAGAGACAGGGTTTCACTATGTTGACCAGGCTGGTCTTGAACGCCTGGCCTCAAGTGATCCACTTGCCTTGGCCTCCCAAAATGCTGGGACTACAGGTGTGAGCCACTGCACCTGACAGTAGTTGAGGGCCACGCTGTTGTCTTAGAGTGAAGTAATGAGAACTTACATTGGTTTGGTAGTCATGGGGATGGAAGGAGGAATTAAATGTGAAAGCTCATTGGCGGCAGAATCAAAATGGCTTGGTCTTTGTAGTCAACTATTAAGTGAGGAGAAGGAATTATTGGCTGACTTAGAAGAAGTAAAAAATGTGAAATACCAATAAAACACAAAGCTCATGATTTCAGTCAGGGTAAAGCTTAAGTACTGTGTGATTCTAGATAGATTATTGAGCAGTTTTGTTCCATGTATTTTATATCCCACATCTTCTAGCAATGACCCTATTTCTTTGTTTCTTGACATAGCCAAACATTTTTTAAACTAACAGCTTTATTGTGATATAGTTTTTGTATGATAAGCCTCACCTTTCAAGTGTACAGTTCAGTGGTTTGTAGTGTATTCAGAGTTACGCAACCATTACCACTCCCTAATTTCAGAACGTTTTCATCTCCCCAAAAAGAAACCGCGTGCCCATTAGCAGTCACGTCCTGTACCTGTCTCCCCCACCGTTGATCCTGGCAACCTCTGATCTAATTTCTATCTGTAGATTTGCCTCTCCTGGACATTTCATATAACTAGAATCATACAAAATGTGGCATTTTGTGACCGGCTTTTCTTTACAGTGATTATAAATCAAATGCCTGAAGAGGCTAAGCTTAGGATAGGGTTTGCTGTATAATTTTGACAACTGAACTTTTTTAAAGTTGAAAATATGACTGTGTCTGTATATGTGGCGTATTATCTTTAGATGACCCTTACTTCAATTATTAAGAATCTTTTCCCCTAGTAATCTTCAACTGTCTCAATATTCAGCAGGAACCCCTTGGAGACAAAGAGCAGTAGGAATTTGGAACATATATTGACAAAATGAATGTAATTTAATTTAGTACAGTAGTAAAGTCGAACACTTTTAGGTGTCGATGCTGCTGAAAGTGTATATTAAGGAACAGTTTACTTACTTTACTTTTGGCGGAGGTGCTAGAACTACTTCTGTCTTGTGTTTAGATTTCAACAAACCTTTGCATAGGTATTATGTGGTTGTACAAATGTACTTTCTTTTGACCTGAATGCAAAAACTTCCTTTCTTCCCACTTTCTGAGACTCTGCAACCTTAAAGGAAGAGTGGGGTACTTTAAAGGAAAGGTGGTGGTGGTTGGGTAATGGGTAACAATGTCTACTGTATACTTCCTTTCCCAAAACAAGTCCCTGTCTACCGTCAGCATTCCCAAAATGTGAAGATCAAGTGTGGTGTTAACTCATTAACTAATCACTAGACTTTGAGTGATTGTGGAAGCAAAATCTCAGTGAATGCCTGGATGTTCTAATTCTGTTAAATCAGTAAGTGCACATTCTATACAAAACTCTCTTAGCCCAGTGGCAGATTTAAGGAGTGGGAGACAGATTTCTACATTTCAGAAATGAAATACATAAAGAATAAAAATTTTTAATCTCATGGTTCTTTGCCTGAGTTTAATTTTTTGGAGAGTTTTTCTTTTAGATTTTCTTTCCCTTCCATTAAACTTTTACTTTGAAAGGTCCCAGGGTTTGGGCAAAGCAAGTGGGAAAGACACTGGCTTGGTTTCTCCAGGATAAGGGAGTGAAGAGGACTTCTTGCCCTCATTTTATTATTGAATAATGTCATCATAACAATTATGAAGGTGAATAGTCTACAGTAGAAGTTTTTAGATGGCTTCTCTGCAAAATAATTCAGTTTAGACAACACAAGGATGCCTTTGGTTAGCT